CTCGTCTTTCCAGTATTCAGAGGTTACCTTCAACTTGGAGTTATCCTTGACTTTGTCTTGATACCCCTTTCTCAAGTCTTCAAGCTCAAAACGGACTCTTTTTTTGTTCTTTTTCCAGTTTTTCTGCCCGATCTTTCTGAGAGTCAGCATCGAGCTTCCACTGATAACGTTCAGCTTCAAGTTCCTTTATCCTTTGCTTCAGCTCATTATTCACGGCTTCAAACTCGGTCTTGGCTATCTCGAGTTCAGAAGGGACATGCCTGAGATGTTCTTCCATGGTCCGGGTGTCATCACAGTCTGGCACAGGGATATTGTCATTCTTTCTTAATCTTCGCCACTCCACATAATCCGGAGTGAGCATGCTTCTGGCAGCTACAACATCCATCCGGAATACTTTCCTCCACGAATCGGCTGCTTCTTTGATCATCTTTTTTATAGCTATCGCCGTGATACTCAAACTCTGACCTAACCAACCCGCATGTTGCTGGGACAAACTGACGTGCTCCATATTGTCTAAGTGCTAATAGCGGAGCATACCCGACTGCTCCCCAAAGTCCAAGTAAGGTCACAGTGTCGGAGTCACCACATCGAAAAAGAACATCACTGAGGAATAACCAAGGGGCTCTCCAGACAATATCTTGGTCTTGAAGATGCGTAAAGACCTTCATCCATTTTTCTTTTGAAGCGCCTTCATACCATTTTAAGGTAATAAATTCACCTAGAGGTGAATAGGTGGTGCTGAAACGGCGGTAGGCAACCCCGTCAGTCTTCCAGAAGTGGCTGTGAATCCAGACCTGAAGGAGCTGAATGCACCCGGTGAATCTTCCTCCGCCAGTTCTTCGGCAATGGTTGAGCAATCGAAAGGTCTCAGCCAAGATGGCTGGTGCTGGGTTAACTCGTTTAGAAAGTTGCTCAAATAGTTCCACCACGGCAGCGTCAATGCACCCCAAAGCCTTCGGAAATATGATCAAACCGTACAGACCCAGTGCAAACATGTCTATAGTCTTCCACTCATCAGGGTGGTTTTTCATTAGTTGCTTTATATGGATCCACTCGATTCCTTCCCCGCTACCTTTGTGCCGGAGTCGATCAGTCACCCACTTTTCATCAACCCCTGCAATCTTGGCCAGTCCGTTCTTGAAGGGCTGACTCTTGATATGTTTAATATATGCCCTCTCTAGTTTGATGCTTTCGCAGTGTAGTAGAGTAGTATACTCTTCGATAGTAGGCACCATGTCTTCCTGGTTAAAGGTGAAACAACTATATCCAGGGTTCCAGAATTGAATTAATGCTCGGAGTAAGGGCTCATCAGTCTTGACATGGAGCAAGAGGGCGATATCACCATATCGTTGGCTGAACTTCTGCTTTCTGTCATTTTTCCAACTGTCCCAAATGTTTCGCAGCTCTTGGACATTATTCTGTTTCAGGCTGACAGCGGCATAACTAACCAGTTCTGACACATAGTTTCCCTGAAGACTGTCTCCCTTCTCTTTCTGAGCCTTCTCGGACCATAGTCGTGCCTCAGCGTTTTCAATCTCTTGTATTACAACACCTTTGTCCATTAATTCGAATTATTTTGTGTATAACAAACGCTTTTTAGGGATCAATAGCCTCTTGTAATGATGCAAATGCTAGAAAACAAACACAAAGGCAAAAAACGTTAGTAAAATAAAAAATACAAATAAGAAATGACGGAAGAAAAAAGCGCAAAAAAAACATGGTTAGGGTAAAAATATCCTAGGTTTTGGAACGTGGTTTCGGGGTAGGCTCTAATTCTTCATGGTCTCCCGGTTTAGGTTTTAAAAAACGGTACCCGAGTCCTCCTTGTCGGTGCCCCCTTGGGCTTGCCAGACCCTTAGTCCTAAACCCATCACAGGCTTGTGTGGACTAAGTTAAACTCGAGGGGACACATTCCCTTATGCCCGCACGGTGAATAAATTCACACGAAGACATAAGGTATATGAATCCCGAAGGCTACTTGCTAGGCCCGCACGGTGAATAAATTCACACGAAGGCGTCGCTTTCACCCCCACTTAAAATAGGAATTGGAGCTCGGGTATAGAGCCTTAAATGAAAAAAACTTTGAAGTCTGAAATCATGAGAAAACGATTAGTCCAACTATTTACTCGAAAAATATAATCAAAAGTAAGCAAAAAGGATCGAAATATTACCTTAAAATTTAAACTTACCATTTTCGTAAAAAGACAACTGGAAATTACCTTAGCCTGACTCGCTTACCTCAAAGTCCCCAGCGGAGTCGCCAAGCTGTCGCAGTCGTCTTTCGGTTGGGCCCCGGAATTGGGCTTCGACTTAGGAAAAAGTGGATTGGAGTCGCCACCGATCATTTATTTAAAAATAAATGGGTTGACCGGGTACCTTATTTCTTACCTAATCTGCGTCTTACCAAAGATGTGTCGGATTCGGGAGTCGGTTACAGTCAAGGAAGGGTTAGCACCCTTGAACTGCCCTTTCGGTACTGTGTAATTTCCAGTTGTCTTTAATTAAGAAAATCGTAATTTTAAATTGGAAGGTAAAATATCGATCCGATTACTTACAATTGATTGACTTGAAAGTGAACCTTTTAGGAGCCGAACGTATATTAGAAAAGGTGATGAAAATGAATTAAAATTGAAAGATAAAGAAAACGAAACAAAGAACAAAAAATAACAATAGATGATACACCAAAAGTAACATAATCGTCATGGAGATATAGAACATGAAGGAAATAAAAATGAAGACAAGTATGACAACATGTGATATGATAAAAAAGAAAGAATAAAGAAATAAGAAAACAAGACCCAATAAAACGGAAAAAAGAAAGGAATAAATAAATAAATAGAACATAATAAAGGTGAAATAAGATAGTATATAAATGTAAAGCGATAAGAATTAAATAAAACGTACATATGTATATAAAAAATGTAAAATAGTAGCGTATAAGGTAAAATTAATAAAAAAACATATAATAGTATTAATTCCATATATATAGAATAGCTAAATATGAGAGAGAGGGAAGAAATATATAATAATAATAGAAAAATTAAATAATTATAGTAATACAAAAGTAAGGAAATAATAAGATAAAATACAAAACATATATATATATAATAACGTTTAAACAAGATATTAGTATAAAACAAAAAGAAAGATGCAAAATGAAATGAAAATAAAAAAGAAGTACGAACGATAATATATCTACGTGTATATATAAGAAATAATGAAAAATGGTATAATATAACATTTAAATAAAACACCAAAAAAAATAAATATGTTTTAGTATGTATATATATAATAAGGATCGGGATGAAAAGAAAAGCAAATCAAGTGGCCAATTTGAAAGTAAATCGGAATTTAAAATCGGATTTGGGACCAAAATAACGAGCCTTCAAGGAAGGAGGGACCGAAAGAGTAGTTTACCCTAATTTATTACCAAAAACACGGATCTGATATAAGCCTGGATCAAAAGTTTTTTTAGTTTCATTTTCTCTCCTTCCCACCGAGAGCCTCTCCTTCTCTCAATGCTTTCTTTCAAATGTTCATCCAGAAAGATGAACACGCCGTCGTGGGGTTCATGTGAACCCAGATTCCGGCACCGCGCCACCTCGCCGGCCGCCGTCATCGGTGGCAAAATCGAAAAAAGTTTTTATTTTTTTAAAGCTCTCGGTGCCCTCGTTTTGAAAACCTAAACAGTTTTCTCAAAAACAAAGCCTCAGGGTATGAATCTGGGTTCGAGAACTTCGGAAACCCCCCCTGTTCATCGGTGTTTTTAGCGTATTTTGAGTATATAAGAAAAAGAAAAAGAGAAGCAAACGGGCGAGCATGCAAAATAACTACCAAAAGGTAAGAACTTTACCTATTGTTCTCTCGAAAATTTGCAAAAGAAAAAAGCTCTGTTTTTGCTAAAAATTGCTAGTAACATTCTTCTTGTATTTTGTATCCAAAAAATCCTCCCCATACTGTTGATTACATGCGTCTATTTATAATACAAAATATTGTCCTATTTTTAGTGTTTTGATCCGAGTGAAACTCGACTTGTTGGTAGATGAGAGTCCACGATTCTGATGAGGTCGTTTTTTTTTTGGTGTTTCATGTGATCACGACGCCGAGAAAACCGGCTGTGGAGGTGCGTGAGGCGCGAGGGAACTCTGACCAAGGAAGTTGCGGCGCGAGATGAAACTCTGACCAAGGGAGTTACGGCGCGAGATGAAATGCTTGCTAGGGTTCTGGAAGCATCAGTTGGGTCCGGGTCACTTGGGTTTGGTCCACTGTTGGGCCCTGAAAAAGAAAAAAAATGTAAATATAGTATAATTTATAATATATATATATATATTATATAATATAAGGATGAAATTTAGTGTATTCACCGTGGAACCCACTTCCAATGGAGGAGGGTGTTGGGTTGGCACAGTGGGCGGGACACCCTGACGTGCACCGCACTATCCTTTAATTTCCTCTCTGCAACAAAACAAAACAATATAAACTTTGGGTTCCACTCTTCTTCCCCACCCACCAACCCACCATGTTTTAGTAATTATACGTGTCAAGTTTCAAACCACGCCTCACGTCTTCCCTTAATCATTTTCTCTTTCTTTGTTTTGTTTGCATGAGAAATGAGTCCTCCTGGGAATCAGCTTACTTCATCTTCACGTCACTTTATGTTCGAATGGAAGGCATGTTAGAAAGCGACGTGTCTAGTCGACAAACGTTAATGCTCAAGAGTTCCGTTTTCTTAGAATATTTAACAGTATAAGATAATAATATTTTCGGTTATTAACAAATCAGATATGAATATTTGTTATATTAGTAAAGAAAATTAAAACTCTTTTTAATCACTTATACCTTACTTATACCTTTATGAATATCATCGTGTTTTGGGAGTAAAATTATTCTACTAATTTTCATTTAAAACACTCTTCATTTATAATCAATATAAGGAAATAGTAATTAAATCATCCTCAACTTGTGTCCAAAGATATTAGTAAAGAAAAAGATAGAAAAACTCCCCAACTCTTTCTTTATTATTTTCTCTTCATTATTCACTACATGATCGCCGGCTAATAAAAAAGACCGTTTTTTTTCCTTTCTATTTTAAACTCTTTAACTTTTCTCACACGAAGAGTTTCAAAATCTTTTTCTTCCGGCTTCCTTCATTTTCGTTGCTCCCGTAAGTAGTTATTTCGGATTCCTCCGAATAAAGAGACGGCGTTTTTGTTCTCTTCTTTTCTTCCTCGTATCGCCTTCCGCCACGTCTTCCTCCACCGGGCATCGTCATCAAAGACAGACTTTGATCCGACGCCGTAGAACCCGATTGATTCTCCATCAACATCCTCATCAAAGGCTTCGACTCAGCGTAGCGGCTCTGGAAGTTGTACGAATTGTTGCCAAAAAAAGGATCAGATGACTCATCGCGACTCGGCGTCCAAACCCCCGTAATAGGCCGTAACGCTCCGCCTTGAAGAACCGTATCCACCGCCGCCTGGCAGATATGCCAGTTCCCACTGGATAACAGTCCAACCGCTCCGTTCACCGGATTCACTGTACGACCACATGCCTCGAACAATAAAGACTGAAACAAAGCTATAAAAAATCCAAAAAAAAAAAACTTAATACACGTAAAAGAATGAAAACAGAAAATCGATCACCGAAATAGAAATGAAGTAATTAAGAGAGAGTACCGGGGCGTTGGGATTCAGGGACGGAAGAGATAAACGACAGGAGGTCACTGCGGCCGAAGAACTTTGCGAGAAATAAGGTGGCGTTGCCTTGTGCTTCGGGGGACTCGATCCAACGTAAGCTTGAGCGTAACACACATGTCTCCTTGCACCCTTTTCGGAGCACTCGGCAACCGTTGCAGCTCATTTTTCCTCAACTAACCACCGTCTGATCTTCAGAAACAAAAAAGGACTTGTGTTCACTTGTTGTAGATAAAGAAAGTGGGCGAAAGGAGTGAGAGCTTGCAGGAGAAAGGAGAGAGAGAGGGGTTATTTTAATTAACGTTAACCATGGTTGGGTTAAGGGGTATTATTTTATGAGAAAATAACCTCAGTGACAAAAAATGTTTTATAATATACGATTTTAACCAAATTTTTTTAGATTTACCAAAATGACCAACTAAATCGCAATGCGATCGATAATTCGCAACGTGATCTCCGGTATCGCAAATCAGTTTCCAGATTCGCAACGCGATTCTGACTATCGCATTACGATTTTCCAAATTCGCGTTGCGATTTTCCGACTATCGCAATGCGAATATGTAAATCGCAATGCGATTATGACTATCTCAATGCGATTCTGACTATCGCAACGCGATTCTGACTGTCGCAACACTGAATTTCAAATTCGCAACAGGTTTTAGTTTCGCAACACAAATGTTTTGGGTATATAACTACGCAGCAGAAGCAACTCATAACCTAAATCCCTAAATCGCAACTCATTCCATCTCCATCTATCACTCTCTCCGGCGACATCCGTTCTTATATCCAACGACATCCTTCCCCATCCGGCAACAGGTTTTAGTTTCGCAGCTCGTTTAAATTAATTTACAATAATGAAATCATCTAATGTTGATCATGTTTGGATAGATTTGTGTTTTGGAGGGTCATGGGAGAATGTTCATGGTGTTTTACAATATACGTCTTTACCCATGAATCTTCAACTAAAACTGTCATTAAAAAATTAACTTATGAAACTCTAATGTTACGTGTTGCAAATAAATTGAATTTAGAGCCCTTAAGTGGATTTAGGCTATCTTATCAGAGAAGAGGTAAAGTTTATTTGTTAACCGATAATGAAGATGTTGAACGATTCATTGCTTACATTAGTGTTTCGCAAGATGATGTTACATTGTATGTTGTTGAACCTAGAAGTAGTGAAGTTGAGTCAGTAGCGGGTAGTAATCAACTAAGTTTTTCAACCCCAGTTTATGGTGCTCAAAATTTAATGGTTCAACCACAATTTCATCACCAAGCAAATTTTGTTTCACCACATTTCTAATACCAAACACAATCTCAAAACCCACAACCTTTCCCTAATCCAAATCCCAATCAACTTTTAGCACCAAATTCCAGTTTTCGTATTAACTAGTTAGACGATGATGAACCAACAAAAAAAATTGTGAGTACTAGTCGGTATTCAAAATTTGATCTTGGTCAATACCCGAACTTTGATCTTGGTCAATACTCGGATTTTGATGATGTTTCAGAAGAAGAAACAGACCCTGCGTGTAATGATTTTGATATTGATCAATACCCGAATTTTGATGATGAAACAGCCGCTGCCGAGGAAGATGTTGTTGATAATAATGAGGAGAAAGTTACGACTGTGAATGAACATGTTGAACATCCATTCTGTAATTCATATAACCCTGAAGAAGAAAAAGAAGAAGAAGAAATCTCCGAAGAAAAGTCCCCAAAGAAAATGCCACTGGAGTATAACTGGAATATGCCAGAATTACTTCAGATACCGGAAGAAGAGTTGGTAAAAATAGCAGTTGATTGTTACACAAAAATTATTCGTATCAAGAAAGATGATTTTTTTGATACAGATGAAGACTTGAAGATAGCTTTGTATACGAAATGTGTGGAAGATGGCTATCAACTAAAAGTTAACAAATCAAGCAAAGATCGTTTCGAAACAAGGTGTATGATTGATAAAAACTGTACGTGGCGTATGATTACAAAGAGGATAAAAGATTGCGAAATGTTTCAAGTTAGGACTTTTATTGATAAACATACATGTTCAAGAACCCAAGTTTTTCCTCACCATAGACAGGCAAACAAAAAGGTGTTGGGTGGTTTTCTGGCAGAGTTAATGTTTTTGAATGACAGGGTATATCGGGGACATGAAATTATGACTGACATGAATGCTCGGTTCAAGATTAGTATCTCATATTCTCAAGCTTGGAGAGTCAAATGTTATGCCTTGGAATTGTTGAGGGGGTCGCCAGAAGCATCGTTTGCCCAACTGTCGACTTATTGTCACAATTTAAAGCTGAAAAATCCTGGATCGGTAACTCATATCAAAACAGATAGAGATGGACGCTTTGAGTTGCTGTTTATCGCCATTGGTGCTGCGATTAGTAAATCAATATAATTTTGTTGACTCATTTTTTGTTAGTTACATGCATTTCACATTTAAATGATTATATTTCTTGTGTATATGATTTTGTAGATTCGTTCGTTTATTACTTGCATGCGCCCAGTTATTATAGTTGACGGAGCACATTTAAAAGGTCGATACCTTGGAGTAAACTTATTAGCAGCAGCCATGGATGCTAACAATGGGATACTGCCAATAGCTTACGGGGTTGCCAAATATGAAACCTCTGATTCATGGACATGGTTTATGGGGCATCTTAGGGATTGCATAGGTCCTATTAGCAATCTGACAATCATATCCGATAGGGCAAACTCAATTGACAACGATGTTAGAAGGTGTTTTCCAGATGCTTTTCATGGACTTTGTGGTGTTCATTTATATAGAAATCTAAAATCAAGGTCTGCTGGTATAAAAAATCACAAATGGACATACTGGAAGGCTGTAAAAGCTTATCGGGAAGTGGATTTTAATAAGCATATAAATTGTTTAAGACGTGTTTTGCCTCAGTGTGCTCAAACACTAGAAGATGTCGGGTTTGAAAGATGGTCAAGAGTACATCAACTTGGAGCAAGATATGGTTTCATAACATCTAATAGTGCAGAATCAATCAACGCTCTAAGTCGTCATTCCCGGAAATTACCCATTACTATGTTAATGGAGTTTTTTCGAGCCTCTATTCAACAGTGGTACTACAAGAAAAGAAACCATGCAGGTATTATTTCTTTAAATTCGTAACTTATCATATATTTTACTAAGTATTATTTATTTAAATTTATAGGAACATTGGAACATCGTGTTACACTATGGACTGAAAAAAAGATAACAAAACGTGTTGTGAAGTCAACGTCATGGAGAGTTGAACCATGTTCAAACACTTTGTTTGAAGTATTGGATAATAACTTAAATGGGCTTGTCGATCTAAATGCAAATACGTGTATTTGTATGAAATGGAAAACATCTGGTTATCCGTGTGGGCATGTTATAAAAGTTGCTCTTCATCTAAACCAAGATGATTCAAGCGCATACGCTATGGATTGCTACACTAGAGAAGTATATCGACAGACTTATGCCGAGATTATCTACCCTATTCCACATCCTTCTGAGTGGGACATAACAGATGACTTACAAACAGTTTTGCCACCAGCCATGGACAGAAGGCTACCTGGCCGACCAAAAAGTCACGATCGTATACCGTCTAAGGGTGAAGAGAATAAGAGATCGACATGTAGTCGGTGCAAGGAAAATGGTCATACAAGGTTGACATGTGGATCACCAGTGCCATCACAATCATCTTTTCCTCTACCAAAATATGGGTCCTCATCAAAATCCAAAGCTCATATGGTGTCAAGAAAAAGGCAATCAAAATCGCAATCAAAATCAAAATCCCAATCACAACCGGCTTCACCATTTGGGACTATTAACTTCGGTGATTTTTAAATGCAAACGTTGTATTATGTGTAAAATTTTAACATTTTCAGTTAGGCATATATTAGTAACTTGAGTTTGAACATTGCTATGATCTGTTCAGTTGTTATCACTTATTACACATTCATTTGAATATCACAACGCGAATTTGACTATTATGTGTATTTTATGTGTAAACTTTTAACATTTTCAGTTAGGCATGTATTAGTAACTTGAGTTTGAACATTGTTATGATATGTTCAGTTGTTATTACTTATTACACATTCATTTGAATATCGCAACGCGAATTTGATTATCGCAACGCGAATTTGACTATCGCAACACGAATATGACTATCGCAACGCAAAAATCGCAACGCGAATTTGTCTATCGCAACGCGAATTTGACTATCGCAATGGCTATTTGACTATCGCAACGCGAATTTGAGTATCGCAACGCGAATTTGATTATCGCAACGAGAAAATCGCAAAGCGTATTAGACTATCGCAACGCGAATTGACTTTCGCGTTGCGATTTTGTCTTTCGCATTGTGATTTTGAGTTTAGCGTTGCGAAAGTGTACCTCCAACAGGTCTTTTGCCTTCAATATGATGCAGATTGAAATCAACAAATAAACTTTTACATTTCAATCAATTAAACAAGCACAAATAAGAATTATTTACACATCAATATTAAACAAATCAACTTTTACAAATCAGTTTTTATAAATCAATTAAACAAGCAAAAAATGATAATAATTCTTATTCTCCTCATCAATTAAACAAATCAGACTTTTAAGAATCAATTAAACAATAAAAAAAAGTGTACCCCAAACATTTGTTTATGCACCCATACATCAATTTCACGCAGCTCACTTCAGGATTAACCTGCAGAAACCAAACATTTGCTCAAATAACACTTTCTACACATCTAAAACCAACAAACAGCAAATTATTATTGAATTCTAGGTACTTAACAACACTTGCATTTGACTTATAAATTGTTTATGGACACTTTCATAACGCAGATGCAGGTAGGCAGCGTCTCGAATATATCGCTCTAGCCATAAAATGCCGAAACCACAAGCCTACTGCACCTCTATCTCTATCGGTGGGAGGTAGAAACTATGTACTTCCTGTCGTCAAACGCTCCAAGCACATGCATACGAGAGGACCACAATCCCCTCTGGCTTCCGGCGTTTGTTGTGGCGCGATCTCGTCTCTGATAACTGTAACATTGAACTTTTTTGGCTTATTGTTTCCAGAATAAGTCCAATAATTAATCGCATCCAAGAATTTAGCCAAATGAGAGCTCCATCCCTTAATAATATCTCTCAAATCAGACAATGATATGTAATTTATCATGCTGTCATATACTATTGTCTTCAGGGATGGGAGCTGAAGCTCGACGAGAAGCCAATGAGTACGTTCCAAAACAGGGATAAA